ACTGTTTAGCTATTGTAAATTGAGCTGCTATAACATTGATGTGGCTATGTCACTATTATATGCTGATTTTAAGTTCTTTGGCTATAGACTGAGGAGTGGGATAGCTGGGTCAAACAGTRGTTCCATTCCAAGATTTTTAAAGAATCTCCACACTGCTTTCCAGAGTGGTTGCACCAATTTGCAGTGCCACCAGCAATATATGAGTGTACTTTCCCTCCACATCCTTACTAACACTTATTGTTGCTTGTGAGATATGTTTTTTTTTTTTTGTCCCCATTTTACAGAGTCTCAGAGAAAAGTGTGGCCCAAATCTGGAAGGCTAGTAGTAGAAAGGATGGGACAAAACTCCAGAGTTTTTACATAGTCCAGGGCCTTTTCCAGTGTCAGCAAACATCAAAGGCTGATTGATCAAGGCAGTGGGAACCCCAGGCCGACTTAATCAAGCTACACTTACATTAACAAAGGGTTAAAAAATAGCACTATGAATATACAAAAGGTGTGTTCTGAGCAGTGACTTTTATGTTAATAAAAGTACTCAAAAATAAAAGATAATTACCTTTGGTTTTACAGCTTTTAAATTTAGTACAATATGAAATGTTCATATTAGGTACATTAACAGCATAACCATTGCTTATTAGGAATTTATGGTGGGTGATACATTATCCAAAAAAAAGTAATAGAAAAAATGTTATTATCAATTCAGAGATGGAAATTGCCACCAAGAATAGGTGCATCTTCTTGCTTTTCTTACTGTTTTATTCTTTTTAAAGTGATGCATGCCTATAATCCCAGCAACTCAGGAGCCTTAAGCAATTTAACCAGACCCTGTCACAAAATAAAAAATAAAAAGAGGTTGGAATGTAGATCCAGTGGTTAAGTGTCCCTGGGTTCAATCCCCAGTGCCAAATAAATAAATGAAAGAGATAAGATACAGGGAGAGATAAGATAAGGAGAGAACTATCTAAAGCTGTTCTTTTTTGTGGGGGCAGGGCAGGTGTGGGGGGTTATGTGGCTCAGTGGCATTCCCTATTTTATATTTTATTTAAAGACCGGGTCTCACTGAATTGCTTAGCACCTCACCCTTGCTGAGGCTGGCTTTGAACTTTCGATTCTCCAGTCTTAGCCTCCTGAGCCACTGAGATTATAGATGTGTGCTACCTTGCCCAGCTAAAGAGGTTCTTTAACCTCTTGCCTTGAAGATTCTCTTGTCATGCTTTTAACAAATACACTCTTGCAAGCGTATACTACATTTTGAATAACACTTGATGTTTATGAGAATCAAAAGTTTGCTCCTCGGAATTTTTTACATGAGATACAGAAAACTAAAACTAAGCATGGAAGTAGTAGGAAAAATGGCAGCAAAAATGATGTCTTTGACATAGTATTATGTCTGTCCATTAGCTGAGGAAAGTAGGTGCTTTAAAACAGGCAAATCATGGCCTCTCCTCATCATGCTTATGTTTATTTRTGAATTCTTAATCTTTTATCTAAGCACTTAATCTAATTAAACTATTGATAACTACATTTGAAGCTAGACACCTTCTCCTTAGCCTCTTGATACCTGAGCTACTGCTCCTCTGAATGTGATGCCCTAAGGGGTAATCCAATCACCTAAGAGTAACTTTCAAATTGCTTTTCAAAGGTACGACTTTTCTAGAATTCCTAAGTGGTACTGGTTGCCATTTCATAACCTAATTATCTAGTTTAACATTTGTATTTTCGATACCATCATATTCATTACAAAATTATTTTCTTAGGACCCAGAGCTAACCTTGGCTGATACCTGGACAGRTGCAATCATTTTTTTTTTCTACGTACCAGTCCTCTTCTTTTTTTGTCCCTTCACTTCCCATTCTTCCTATCTTCAGATACCTCTCTGCTGTCTTCCTCTCTCCTTCCTTTTCTGCATTTCATCTCAGTTTATAGGAAGATAAAAATTTAGAATGATTGTAAGGGGAGGTAAATGATTCTTTATAAAGTTATTATTCAGTAATAGGACTATGGAACACATTTCATTTCTTAGACAAATAATTCAAATTACCTTGGTTGAGAATCCTGGTTCATAAAAACAATATGTATAGATTTTGAAAAAAAATACAGTATCAATGAATATAAAGCAGAAAGGAAAAGTGCTAGTTTCTTCCATATTTATCAGTGAGAATCACTACTAATGGTTTTCAGGTATCCTTCTAAATATCTGCTACATACATTTACATATACTATATAATGTAGCATTAGCTACATTTAAATTTATATTTGTAATGTATTCATTTTCCTTTTATAACGCTCTTCAGTTTGTCTGGAAGCATCTAAAGATTAGTAATTTCAGTTTTATTCTGCTTCATATTAATAAATTCTAGTATCTCAATTTCTTGTTTCTTTTTTAATGTTTTTCTTACTGCTTTCAGAATGCTGCTTCCTTGTTTTTTTGGTTTGTTTTTGTCAAGTTTGACCTCTGCAATGGCTCAAAGTTTGCTAATAAAGATAAGAGAAAAGGGAAAATAAACTAGCTGAGAAAAGATAAAAGAAATGAAGAAGACAAAAAATGATATTTGTGTTTTATGGATTCAGTCTTTTGTGGGGAAGCAGTTGGTACATGTTCTGCCAGAGTGATAATGTTCATAGTTATTAGGAATTAAAACTTGTAGGAAGAAAATGTAGAATTATCCTTGCTTTCATTATAAGGAATATTATAAGAGATCAGTATAGGATTGCCAGATGGTTGTTGAAGACACAGGATGAATTTGTTAAGGGCAAATATTTAGTCATCTGGGATCTGGAATAGAAAAAACTGACTATAGGTCAACTTTAGTTGGTTATGAGTGTAACACAGGCTTACTATATTCATACATCTCTGAGACTAATAACAGGTGCACTGACAAAATTCTTCACTATAACAGGCACCAGAGAATGAACTTCACATTCTTAACATGTATGAAACTATTAGCTATAAAATGTGAATTAGAATTTCAGAATCTCCTTTTACAACATGGAAACAATGTTTTTCTTCCTCCTTTAAGCAGATAGTCACTTATGAAGAATATGGTTGAACATCTATTGAACTACCCATTCATGATTACCCTGGTATTTCTAAGTAGCTACTAACAAAGCATTATTTGAGTATACACCCTTTTGTTCCCCCAAAATGTAGACACTTTTTTAAACCCAAACATTGGAGACATTTGGAATAAAGCAAAGGAGAGCAGTTGGGAATTAGATGAAATTTGGAAGTAATCAAAATATTATGTTACTTTTTTTCAATTTGATGTCATCTGATTAAATTTTGTTTTATTAGATAAATGTTACTATTGAGCTTTTTTTAGTTTTTTTTATATTGCATTAAGAAAATGATGTAGTTATACCGTTATTCCTTCTTGACTTTTCACAAAGAACTATAATTGAATTTGGCTTTGTGATTTAATTCTAGTTAGTAGAAATACAAAAACAAAATAGCTATCTAGTTTATTGTGACTTAGTCAAGTCTGCCAAGTATTTGCATGCCAAAGGTAAAATAGAAACTGGGTTTCTTGGGCGGAGCCAAAGAAGTCCCCCAATGAGCAGCTCCGTGGAGGAGCCAATCAGCTAGATGTTGCTGGGGCCGCTGTGAGCCAATCATCAGCTGGCAGTCTGAAGGGCAGGGAAACAGCCCAGTGAACATCACCGCCTTTGGCTGTGGCTCTCAACAATATACAATAGAATCCAAGCAAAGAACCATGAGTAGGAGCAGTAAAAATGGCTTGTTCATCCTGTAGTTCAGAGAATTAAGAATCTAAGAGTAATGGACATGGAAGCTATAGGAAGTTTACTTCTTTTTTAAAATTTTACTTTTGATTTTTTCCCTGTGTCTTCATTTACTTCACAACTTTATGTTCTAATTTACACTTTTTTGTGTATTTGTACTAGAGATGGAACCCAGGGTCACTCTGTAACTGAGCTACATCCTCAGTCAATTTCTTTTTTTTTTTTTTTTTTTTTGAGACAGGGTCCAAGTTATTTAGGGCCTCACTAAATTTCTGAGGCTGGCCTTGAACTTGAAATCCTCCTGTCTCAGCTTCCTAAGTCATTAGTATTACTGACTTGTGCCACTGTGCCTGACCTCAATTTAAACTTTAAGTGATAATTGTGGTCTGCATGTTTATGGACTTGCAATTCTGTGGAATATTAGTATTATTTTTTTAGAAAATAATTCCATAAAGGACTTACGACTTAGGAGATATTTTTTTTTCTCAAATGTGCTAGTGCCATACCAATTGTGTTTATTTTAAAATAAAGGATTCCTGCTGAGAACACCTGTAATCTCTGCAACTGGTGAGATGACACAGAGGATTCCAAGTTCAAGGCCATTCTTAGCAATTTAATGAGACCCTATCTCAAAATAAAAAAATAAAAAGGGCTGGTGGTACAGCTCAGTGGTAAAGTACTTTTAGGTTAAATCCCCAGTACCAAAGTAAGTAAATAAAACAAAGGATAAATAAATAAATAAGTAAAGGATTCCCTAGGGCAGGGGTTTTCAAATATCAGAAAATCAGAGGGATTTTTAAAACAGATTTTTGAGCTCCATTCACTCCCAAATTTCTGACTTAGTAACTCTGGGGTAAAGTCTAAGAATTCGTATTTCTAATAAGTTCCAAGGTGATGGTAATATTGTTAGGCCTTAAATGATACTATAAGAAGCACAGTTACTCTCATCATTATACATAATACATGTATGAAGATGTGAATTTGGTGTCAACATACCTTATATATAATCAGAGATATGATAAATTATTGTATAATGGTGTATTAAGAATTGTAATGCAAAATAAATAAATAAGCATTAAAAAAAGAAAAAGAATTAAAAAGAATAATTGCACATAAAAAAAAGAACCACAGTTATACAGGATTTATTCCAGAAGTTTGAGACAGAACTAGATTTAATTTGTGCTGAATTAACACTGAGTAGCTTGTAGTTCAAAATTGGGTATGAGCAATGATTGTTCAATGTCTTCATTTCTTCATAGATTGGAGCATATGATCAACAAATATGGGAAAAATCTGTTGAACAAAGAGAAATCAAGGTAACAAGTTTATTTCATTTTGTTTGTTTTGAAATATAATTCTATGAATTGATTATGTGTCACATTTTATTTAATATCTTTTCATATACTTTTAAGGTATAAATTAATATTATTATTTATTCTTTAAATAAGAAGTAAACTCTTTTTTTATAAACAGCATAATCATGTCTTTACTGCTAATTATTTTTTGAGCTTTTTAGCATCTTTCCATTCTTTTAAAATTTAATTTCTAATGGTTATTTTTTGTTAGCTTTTTTCCCCTTTCACTTTTCACCTTATACTTCTAGTTTACTTTTCCTCCCTTATGATGCTGTCATTGCTCTGTACAGTTTATTAAACTGGTAAGTGTTTTAGGATTTTTCCCGCCTGAATGATCCTGTGCAAATGCTGCTCTGCTTGAGATCTGCTTTTGGTGCTACTAACAGAATGACTTGGACGCAAACAGAGTCCCTGAAAAGTTGGTCATTTTTGAAAAGAATTTAGAAAAATAAAACATTAATTAAATGTCTTTATAGTAGGCATTTTCTTCTTGAACATGCAACTACCTCATATGTTGATATGATATTCTCCTAGGCTACCTTGCTGGCATGAAAACTATTTTTAAACTAAATTTGTTTCTCAGCATTTTTTTTTGATAATAAGATTTATATATATTTTTTTCATTTGCAAAGATACTAATCAGTGTGTTCCTGCACGAGCTGAATTTAATTTGGGCCCTACCAGAGTCTGTTTAGTTTACTTGACATTCTATTTTATAGAAAGGTTTATGTTACAGTGAAAACTAAGTCTATAGTTATTTCACAATCTGTTTTTTAAAAATCTGCCAATATTTAACTATAATAAAGAGCAAGATTCTTTAACATTTGTTAATTTTAATCTTTATACTTTTTTTTTAAATGAAGAATTGATACATTTAAGGGTGAGGCATGTAGCTTAGTGGAAGAGCACCTGTTTGGCATGTGAAAAGCACTAGGTTCTATTCCCAGCACTGCAAAATTAAAAGAATGAATACACTTAATAAAGTTGTTATGTGTTAAATATAGGATTTAAGTCAGGAGCATAGAAAGATGAGGTCGGTTACAGTTTTGTAGGTAAGATACGTAATTGAAAATGAGATAAATTCAGAGACACTTGTGTAAGTCTCTATAGGGAATGCAGAGGGAGGCAGCTCTGGGGAGGTTAGGAGAAATTTAATAGAGGAAGTAGTTCTTGAACAGAGTTTGACAGACTTTGGGGAGACAAATGAAGGCATTACAGACTGGTGAAGAACACATGAAAATATAAAGAATAAAGAAACATGACTGAATCAGGAACACTCAAAGAGTTTGACTTGGTAATAGATTGGATTGAGGAAGGATTTAAGGATGATTATGCATAAAACTAGAAAAGAAAATGGAAGTTAAATTATGAAGGGTCTTGAATGCCTAACCCAAGAATTTAGACATAATCTGGAAAAAAGTGGGGTTGACACTGAAAGAATTTTTTAATTGATTTTATTATATTTTTATAAATACACGACAACAGTGGAATGCATTACAATCCTTATTACACAAATAGAGCACAGTTTTTTGTATCTCTRTATATAAAGTATGTTCACATCAATTAATGCCATTATACATGTACTTTTTTTTACATTACAATTCTTAATTCACATACCACAATTTTTCATATCTCTGTTTGTATATAAGGTGTGTGTTTTTAAAAATTGTGTTGACATGAAATTCAAGTCTATTTATTTATTTATTACATGACAATAGTGGAATGCATTATATTCATAATTATCCATTCACAGCACAATTTTTGTAACTCTGTATATAAAGTATGTTCACGCCAAATTATGCCATTATACACGAGCTCTCTTTTTTTGCATTACAATTCTTAATATACCTTTATAATACAATTTATCATATCTCTGATTGTATATAAGGTATGTTGACTCCAAATTCACATCTTCATACATGTATTTTGTATAATGTACTTTGTATAACGATGACCATTACATTCCACCAACTATTTTTCTTAAGCATTTTAGAAATTATAACTAAAATTTCATTTTATTCTCTGATCACTTTGGCCCAAATTTAAAAGTAAATATCTAAAAAGAAATTCTGGTGTGCTATTTCACAGTTGCATGATTATAGATAACAGTAATGTACTGTATATTTTAAAAAGCTAGATGAAAGGATTTTGAAGGTTTTCACCATAAATGTTTCCCCACACATTTGGGGAAATAGATATGTTTACCCTGATTTAAACGTTGTGCAGTCTGTGCATGTATCAGAACATCACACAGTATCCATAAATCTGTGCAATTTTTATGTGTCGATTGAAAAAAAAAGAAACTTAAATGCAGAATTTCCCTCATAGTTCTTAGATTTTAAAAGCTTTAACAAAAAGCTTATGAAATCGTTATTTATTGACAGAGGAAAAAGGAGATGGAGGGGAGAAAAGGATTTCTAGAAAGTGAAACTGATATTTCTGTCCTTGATGGATTCTAAGTATTACAGTAATTCCATGCATAGGAAGTTTACTTACTAATAAAAGAACTTTATAAACTTAAGCAGCCTTCGTTAATTTTGGAGGTTAATATTATCTGTGTATTTGGGGATTTTTAAAAAATACAAAACTTCATAGTATTTGAGTCACTGCACTATGGAAAACAAACATACTATGAGTTTAAATATACATTCAAAAAAGAATATTTCATTTTGACTCTAGCATGTTAATTACATTTATACTGTTTGTTTCTGTTTTCTACTTTGTGCATAAATAAGTAGTTTCAAAAATTTCATTCTTTTTTTTTTAAATTTCATTTTTTGTTTGTTTGCTTAACTTTGTGCAGGTTATAATTATAGCTAGGAATACTTCGTCTGAATGCAGTTTACCCCGAATCAATTTAAAATTTTCCAACTTAAAATGTCTACTTAATTAAAATCATGTTTTATGAATACTCACATCATTGTTGCCCCCAACGCTAAGGATTGAACCCTGGGCCTGGGGCATGCTAGGCAAAACTCTACCACAGAGCTATATCCTCAACTCCAATATTTTTCATTTTTGTGACTAAAATTATTAATTTTCAATTTATCAATGTAAGTTTTTACTTTTTAAAAACCCTTTAAATATTCTGATAGACTCCCTTGAAAAGGAAGTTTTACTGAAACTGGACCTTATGGTGTGGCTCTATAATATAGCTCAAAATAAATGTTTTAATAGAATGTAAAATAGGAAATGAACCATGTATATACAAGGTCAAGTAGAATGAGCATGTTGAAAACCAGCATAGTTGTGTAAATCAAGACCATTTACTGTTTTTCTGGTTAGTTATTAAAAGACTTTTGACAAAAATTTTAGGTTTACAACAATAAACTATGTCTCAGATTAGTCAGAAAACACTGGCAATAATGGTTATTCTGAAGTTAGAGAAAGACTTATGATAGAAGTAAATGTAAACATATTACTGTTTTTTTTAATTCTTGGCACAATAAAGGTAAAATACCAKAATAATAAACTTTATACCAAATCAAAACAGTGCTTTATTAATGAAATTTTGTTTAAATGTATATATTAGAATTGTCTTTCCAGTTTGCAAAATCTTGGAAATGATTTATAATCTGTTAGCTATCCTATAGTCACATTAAAATGAAAGTAAAGTACAGAAGCAATGGATTCTCATTATTCATGGTAGTTATATTCTTGAAAGTCACCACAAACACTGAATTGGTGGTGAATATTGAACCATTACTCCTAAGGGAAATAGGTTTCTCTAAGTCTTAGGTCATAACACTTTTGTCAACTGATCAGTATATAACTTTGTTTTATGTATGTTTCTGTGTTAAGATCCCTTATTTAATATACATTGTTGATTTTTATTAACAATAAACTTATGAYCAGTAATGCTATAAGTCAGGTTTAAAATGGAGGTTATGCTGGCATGGTGGTACGTGCTCATAATCCTAACAACTTGGGAGGTTGAGGCAGGAGGGTCACAAGTTCAAAGCTAGCCTCAGCAACTTATTGAGGCCCTATGCAATTTAACGGGACCCTGTCTCAAAATGAAAAATAAAAAGGGATGGGAATATGGCTCAATGATTAAGCACCCCTTGGTTAAAGCCTGGCACTGTTAGTGAAAGAAAAAATAAATAAATAAATGGAGCTTATCTGACACACATTTTCTCTGGAAGGCACATCACAGCTTTCTTTCATTTAGGAACACTAGACAGCACTGCACTGTATATGGGGTCATTTTAAAAAAACTGCCAATAAAAAGCACAAAAATGTGAAGAACAAAAAACTAAAATAGACTGGAAAGAGAACTTGTTTACAGTAATGAGAGCTCAAACAAAAAGGCAGAGTGTTGCCTTGTATAGCCTCAGCTGAGAATGTGCATGTTGGGAACCTCAAAAATTTTTTCCACTCCGCAAATAAGGGCAAAAGGACTAAGCATATGGATTTAGGGATACGAGTAACAATAAGTGTATTTGCAAATACAGAATCTGAGAATGTAAGGATCAACTATCTATATATTGCTTTATCTTCAAACCTGACCTCCCCCCCCCTTTGTATCTTTGGGTAGTTTGCAACTTTAGCTGTACGGAGCATATGAAAAAGTTCAAAGGTTAATTACATCTTGAAGTCAGGGTACATTATTGGTTTAGACGTATAAGTTCTGACCTTAAATACTGCCTCTGGTTTTAGATATAAACAGTTCTTAAATCTGATTTTAACTTTATTGTTCATTGTTACTTGGATTAGGACCAAAGAAAATATTTACTGCAAAGTTGGTTGTTTAATGAATTTGAATGTCTTCTGAGGAATTTAACCTAAGCTTACAATTCTTAATATATTAGGTCTTAAGTAATAACATAATTAATTTTTCCCCACTAATTTTGACCATCCCCAACCCACCCCTGCACTCTCTACAATGAAAGCAGAAATTTAATTTTAGCCAGTGGTCAATAATTTCAAGTTTAAATTAATTCAATTCACAAAAACTGCCTCTTCTTCCGTTGGCATATGGACATAGTGCAACCCTAAGATGTACATAATCCTCTCTGGGGCTCAGCTGATACCCCCATAATATGCTAGCATTTGCTGAGAAGTTTACATCTCTGTCTAGTTCTTAGCTCTATGATTTACTGCTTCCTGCAGCAACACCTCAACATCACATCTTGACGGCCTTCAGGGCTACTCTCACCCCATCCTGAACCCTCTCCTGATGACAATCTGGGGCCAATGTAGTCTCTTGAACCATCTAGACTTATACACCCAAATTTGCTTGGTGTAGTCATAATCTTTTATTAAAATTTTACTATTAGTAATGAACTGTCTTTGCATGTTACACAAATCCCTAAACATATCCTTTTAGAAAAACAAATTTATTACAGTACTATAATTATATTCCACTTGTAACAAATGCAAAACATATCTTTTTGTTTGGTGTATTACTTAAAGATTTTATATTAAATTGAAATCCTTAGAAGTTAATTCTTTTATGCTGTTCTAGACTAAAAAAATAACATGTACAAATTTCAGTACTACTGTTTATATATTGCAGGGGTTAAGAAATAAACCAAAGAAAACAGCACATGTGAAACCAGACCTCATAGATGTTGATCTTGTAAGAGGTGAGTCTTCAATAAATAAATGCTTTATATAAGGAGACATTGACTTTGAAGAAGTAATTTTAAAATAGGTTAGATATATACACTTTTAGAAGTAAAAGCAGTTTGAGCTGATATGAGAACAGGAATAGCATAAAAAAGAGAGAATGGAAGATAAATACCTTTGAGTAGCTTTTCCTCCCACTAAATATCACTGAAATAAGTATAAAAGATAGCAGTTCATGTTTGCTTAGCAAAGCATAGCACTTTGTTATAAAAATTAAAGTGGCAATTTGTAATTCCTAACTGAAATTGACATTTGAATACTATATTATATTTATAAAATATGTGGGAAAAATTCTATTATTTCAACTAATAATCTTTTTCAGAGTATTTGAGTTATCATATTAAGATACCATGATGAATGTTTTTTAAAGTGACTATTCCCTAAATTGGATGTTTCTTACTTGTAGTACAGAATAAAATTACACATATGTGGTTTTTCAAACAGTGACATTTTTTTCTGTAGGGAAATAAATGTAGTCTGTCATTGTATTTTACCTTTTTTTCAGGGTCTGCATTTGCTAAGGCAAAGCCTGAAAGTCCTTGGACTTCTCTGACCAGAAAGGGAATTGTTCGAGTTGTATTTTTTCCCTTTTTCTTTCGCTGGTGGTTACAAGTAACATCAAAGGTCATCTTTTTCTGGCTTCTTGTCCTTTATCTTCTTCAAGGTATAATTAAGTGATGGAAATGCAATTTGCTTTTAGCTTTCAGGGATGTTGTATTTTTAGATTTACTAAGGCTTTGTTCTAAACATATACTAACTACTACCTAGAATGAAGTGAGTATGAATATGTTAATAAGAGAAAGCTAGTTTGGTATTAAAAATGTTTGAGAAAATAAGGCAGTATTTTCCAATATGATTGTACAAAAATTTAAATCTGTGTATGGCTAAAGAATTTTCTTTTTCTTTCTTTTATACTGGGGATTGAACCTAGGGACACTTTACAACTTTACAGTTATTATTATTATAATAATTATTATTATTTTTGTTATTATTTTATTCTACTTAGTTGTACATCATAGCTGAATACATTTCAATTTGTACACAAATGGATTGCAACATTTCCCTTCTTTGGTTGTATACAGTGTAGAGATGCACTATCCATGTAATCATATGTGTACCTAGGGTAATGATGTTCATCTCATTCTACCAAAAACTTTTTTGGTGCTTCTCATTAGAACCCACAGCCTTGTGCATGTGAGGCAAGCACTCTCCAACTGAGCTATATCCCAACCCCCAACCTTTTTTATTTTTTATTTTGAGGCAGATTCTTGCTAAGTCACTCAAACTGGTCTTGCAGTTCTCCTGCCTCAGCTCTGGAGTTGCTGTGATTATAGAGGTACACCACTGCATCTAGCTATGAGAGGATTTTCTAAAGTTAAAAAAAAAAAAATCTTTAAAATGCATCTGCCGCCATATGTGTACACACACACACACACACACACACACACACACGTCTTTTTTTTTTTTTAATACAACCTATACAAGTTCATTTTTCCTGCCTAAAGCATGGTTCATTTTTCGGTACCTTTTACTATGGTGATCTGAACTAGCCTCATTCTGTATTGAAATTTTATATACCGTGCACTGAGTACTTTGTCAGATTGTTACTTAATTCTCACAGTAGCCCAATGAAATATATTTCTAGCTTATAGATATGGGACCTGAAAGATCTGCAAATTCAAAGCCACACAATCACCAGGTGTGTAATAGTGTACAACTACAACTCTAAGTCTTCTGACTCAGAGCCAGACACTAACAACTCAGTTACACTGCCTCCCAACACAGCAGCATTCTAGTGCACAATCATAGCATCATTATACAACATAACATATATAATATTACAGACTATTTGGAGACTAACGAAGAAACAACTCACATTTCATCCCATTAACAAAGCAATTATTTTAATTTGGTTGATGATATAAAATAATATAAAATTTGGTTGATAAATAAAATAAGAAAAGCTTGTCTCTTTAATGTTACCTTAAAAAAATTATTTCAGTCCTGAATGATTATTTCTATATGTTTATCAATGGACTCTATGTAAGATTCTTATACATTGTAAGTAAATGAAAATAAAAATTAGACTTAAAAGTTGTTTCTTCTAGCTCAAGGGGTGTGTGTGTGTGTGTGTGTGTGTGTGTGTGTGTGTGTAGACTATGAGGCTTTTGTGATTGTTACTAGAATTTTTGTTTTGTTTTGCATTGTGAGGGAATGAACCTATCCCTCCCACATTCTAGGCAAGTACTCTACCACTAAGGTAAACACCAGCCCTGTTTTTTCTGATTAAAGATATTTGTGTTCATGGCAGAAAATTTGGAAATATAGAAAAAGCTAAAGAAAAAAAACCTATTCATATTCTTGCCTTTCAGTTTACCTTATAACATTTTTATATTGTGAGAGTAGTTTACAAAAACAGTTATATATATATATATATTTTTTTTTTTTTTGTCTAATGTCAAAGTGTCAGTCTATGTGTATGATTTTAAATTACTAGAAAGCATCTCATTGTGCATCAGTATTTGGCATTTAAACTGTTTGCTCTCTTTTGTTATTATAATTAATACTGAAGTAAACATTTATGAAGCTTTTCTTATTTTATTTTCTTATTGTAGATTCTTAGAGTGTATGAAATTCTAATTGTTTTTAAAATGGTGATATTTTTGTTAATGCTTTCCATGACAGTTCTTTTAAATTTTTCTGATCAAACATTTTCTGGGTATTGTTACCTGATATTTTGTTAAACTAAATGTTGACTTATATACATCATCATATTTACCCATGAATATGATAGGCATTTCATTGTAATATGTACATTACAATGATCACATTTAACAAAATGAACAAAAATGTCCTAATATTAAAATTTTCTGCTTGTTCAGAATTAAATACTCATAGACACTGGTTTCAGGCATGGCTGGATATGAAGGCTCAGATGACGTCTTTACTTTTTTTTTGTTGACTCTGCTTTCCTTGCTGGTTATACTCTTAGGTTGGCCCTTTCTAGGTGATAGCTAAAGTGGCCACTGTCAATTTCACATTTCCGTAATCCTTAGTATTTGTGATCTAGGAGAATAGCCTTTTTAAAGCATCTATATTAATACCTGAAGAAGATTCTGATCACCCCTGCTTAGGCCACAAGCCTTTAAAAATTATTTATTTTTATTATTATTACTCCTATGCCCAGAGTTATTAATTTGTGGTAAGCCTAGGTTTTTTTGCCCATGCCTGAGGTGGGAGAAATAAGACTGTTTCAGTGACAGATAAAGGAAGGAGACCCCCAAAAGGCAGAGTTTATATTCAGAAAGTCTAAGGGATGCGGGGCAGGCAAAAACAAGATTTCTCCTTCATGTGGTAATTGTTASATTTATGTTTATTATTTGCTCTGGAAAATATGCCCAAGTAAATTTATGCTATTAATTTTGTATACATAGACCTTTATTTACATGCTTTTTATAGCCATATAACACACTTATTATCATTAGACTTCCTTATTTGTAAAATAAAGAAATAATTGTACTAAAAGTTAGTATGATTCTTTTTACTTTCTGTCACTTATCTAACCTGGAATGCCCATAAATTTGTATGCATCTAATTTTCTTTGTGGTGTTGAGGTGTATACTTCAGAGATGATATTGAGTGTTATCTTAGTCTAAGAGTGTATTACTAAATACCATGATTAGGCTATGGCAAACAAGAAAATAGTCTAAAGAGCTGTGTAGAGTAACATTTTAAATTTATTTAAATGTGGAAAAAGAATCTGGCAAGAAGTAATGTAAGAGCAGTTTAAAAAGTTTTGAAGAAGTGACTGTCAGATCTATAATTAAATGTATTTTCTCTCCCTTTTTGTAGTTGCTGCAATAGTATTATTCTGTTCCACTTCTAGCCCACATAGTATACCTCTGACAGAAGTGATTGGGCCAATATGGCTGATGCTGCTCTTGGGAACTGTGCATTGCCAGATTGTTTCAACAAGAACACCTAAACCTATAAGTACAGGCGGTAAAAGAAGAAGGTACTGTCTATTGAAAAGTGATCTTTTTTGGGGGTAAATTTCTGTAATTTGAATCCAGGATTATTCTTAACTATTCTCATWACCTTCATAGAATAAAATGTTGTCTTATAAAATTGTTCTTTCAAATAAAGTACTGAGTTCTCAGATCAATTAACAAGCAGTTTATTTTCTTTATTCAAGTTTATTTTGAAACCACATGCCTGTGTTTTTCTTAATTATTGTTTTCTTAAAATTCATTTCCAGTCACCTAAGAACAATATTGGGAATGTGTTAGCTGGAATTGCTAAAAATTCCTACTAATTAGAAAATTTTTTATTTCTAAGATGGCTTGGCAAAAATAACAGCCAAAAAAAAAAAAAAAAAGGAAAGAAAGAAAAAGAAATTTCATCTAGGCTCTATTCTCTAAATGATGTTTAAAGCTGTATGATATTGTCCTTAATTAAGTATACATAGAAGCCCAGAGTGGTGTCACATGCCTGTAATCCCAGCAATTTGGGAATCTGAGGCTAGAGAATCACAAGTTCAAGACCAAAGTCAGCAACTTAGTTAAACCCTGTCTCAAAATAAGATATATAAAAGGGTCAGGGATGTAGCTTACTGGTAAATTACCCCTGGGTTCTTTACCCTGGGTTTAATACCAAGTGCTGGGGACTGGGGRTGGGGGGAAATTAAACATAGCAAGTTTCACAAAGCACAATGGAATTCTGTTTTAATGGTCTTTTGGAGAATCTTCTTTTGAATATTGTTGATTAGAGATTGTGACGTTTGCAGTTTTGGGGTATCGAGATTTAAGCTCATCTCATTTTAAAATGATAATGCCTATGTCAGATAAATAGCTTTGTTGATTAGTTAGATTATAATTCTCTCCAATCTAAATTTTCTTCTTTCTTTACCTGCAGATAAGTGACATTCAAATAGGGAAGAAATAACTTTTGTAAATACCTGTCCAGTGTGATCCTTACAACCTTTTGCCACTGACCTGTCAGGATGAGCAAGGAAAAATATCTTACTATTTATAGAAATTGGTCTTGAATATGCACTATGATATTTGGATTACATTTTATTTAGTAAATTTTAATTTTATTATTTATCAAATTTTCTATGTTTTATGTTTTCTAAAATTTTGAATGTACTATTGAGAAAGTGGTTGTTAAAATTTTAAAGCTACCTTCTGCTCTTTAATTTCTTCTGATGAAGGAAATTAAGAAAAGCAGCCCATTTGGAAGTACATAGGGAAGGAGATGGTTCTAGTACCACAGATAACACACAGGAAGGAGCAGTTCAGAGCCACGGTACAAGCACTACTTACAGTGTTGGCGCTGTCTTCAGAGATCTCTGGCATGCTGCTTTCTTTTTATCAGGGTTTGTATTTATTCAAGGCTTTCTATGGCATAGAGCTGCACTATCCCTTTTCTGGTACTTCAGTCTCAGATAATGAATATTAATGACTTTAAATATGACAGCCTCATAATGGCTTCTGTTTTGATAAATTATAATACTATAGTAATGGGAAAATGAAGATCATAAAGTTTACTTTGGATTATGTATAAATATATCTATCTGAGAATGAGTATATACTAGCAAAGTATATTTATTTAGGAGTTTTTGATTTTGGCTTCTTTTGTATTTCTCAAGTAGTATTATACTTCTGTTAACTAATTTGTTTTTATCACCATTAAAATGGTTTTAATAAGTTGTAAGAGTTGTATCAAATAAAATGTGTACTATAGTATAAAATCCTACTTTTGTACACTGGGCTTTTAGTATAGTTTGTACCATCAGTGAAGATTGAACAAATAGGAAAATAAATTATAGCAAACTTCAAAACCATATAAAACTTAACTCAATCTTATATATTATTATATAATATACCATTATATAATTTACCATTATTTAATTATATTATTATTTGAATAACCTACATAGTTTAAATATGTACATGTTATAAAAACGTTAGAAAGCTATTATTGAAATAATGAGTGTGATTGATGAAAGGTGCTAATTTAGTAAGAAAAGGGATAATGCAAGTAACTATTTTCTGTCATTTGTTACTATTTCACTAATAATATTGTTTCATCAATTTGTAATTGTGCTCTTATGATAAAGTTTATCATGCATTATAAAACTAAGCAATTATATCCTAGATAAGTTTTTACTGTTTGTAATTTTCAGGAAAGTTTTCCAAAATTTAATAATTTACAGTTACATGGCATTGATTAAGTTGAAACCCTGTGTTGCAATTACCTATTCTTCCTCCAGTGATGATGTTTTAGTGTTTTAACTTGGCTTGGATTCTGTCTCTCTCTCTTTCTCTCTCTCTTCTTCAGTCTTTTTTTTTCAATCGCTCTCTTTTCTAACATTAGGATGAAAGTGTTTAGTCATTGCAAAGGCAAGATTTTTAAACATTTCTCAAGACCTTCAGATAAGCAGTTATAAATAACACAGTGGATGTGTTTTGCTTTCAGAGAGTCATTTAGTGTTTTGGTTTCTACAATGGATAATATATTATGTGGGTATTTAGAATCCTCTAAAACTAGTAGGTTGGTGCCTTTGAAAATTTACCATGTTTCTCTACTCAAATGAGATCCAGACTTCAATTTTTCTCTCCTTGGGCTATACCCTGACCATGACCATGACTACCAGTCATCAATGGATTTATTCCCTTTTATCATGTCAACTGTACATCTAAATATTTTAAAAGTGAACTGCTTTTACCCATCTCATTGGGGCTTGTTTGCCAGCATATGAATAAGGCTATGTTAAGTATTAGGTACAAAAAGATCTTAAGAGAAATGTAATTTTTTAAGTYCTAAGCTAAATTATTTTAATCAAGGTCTAAGCATAGTTCCAGATAACAATGATGGTTATATGTAGGCTCTTATGTTGTCTGGTATCTGAGATTTTACATGTTATGCCTCTCTACTGTCTCCTTTTCCCCTTTGTTTCCTAACCTTGTGAAAGTGAGAGCAGGACTAGAAATTTCATATCATGTTCTAGGACAAGAGTTACCTGCTACTGTTAAACTTCCCCATATAACTCCCTAATGTCTTTTTATACTGAAAGGATTCTCTTCAGTCTTGTATCTATTTATATACTTCAGAGTATTTTTCAGAATACCAGAAAATATTTCTAACATTTATTTTTTCATGGTGGAAAAGAACACTATGAGTGTCTGATTACCCAACTAGTGTTTTATGGAAACACACTAGTTTTCATAAATTTGAGATTTGTGAGCTAGCAAGTCCTTTGAAAGTTGTGTTAACTTTTTAAGTTTTCAACATGAAAACATGCAGTTTKATGGTTTATTTATGGTGTAGATTGTATATTTATTTACATTTTTTCAGAAAAGAATAAAATCTTTTATTTTTTCACAAATGAGTTAAGGTGATTATACCTCATATATTTCAAAATGTCATTCTCTCCCATCATCTTTTGATGGAGCTTCTCTTCCTTGAGTGTCAAGCATAATACTCTAAGGAAAATTCTACAAAGGTCCTGTCATCCAAAAATTAAAGTGATAGGCTAGTTATAAAACTTTAAGTCTTGACAGTGACAATTGCACACTGTTTTTCAGCAAATGTTTTCTATTCAAAATCCAATTCACAAATTATTTCTGGCTTTTTATTTTCTTATTGATAAAAAATAATCATTTTTCATGAGCCAGGCATTATGTTACATGCTAGGGATACAAAACTAAAACTGATGGACTAAAATATAATGTTGTAAATGTAAACAGAACATCCTAGGAGCAAAAAGGTACAACTGTCTCTGCCAAGGAAAATCAGCACACCTTCATATTTTAGGTGAGTCTGGAAAGTGAATTTAATCAAAGAGTTGGATAATGTAATATTCTTACAAGAAGGGAGGTTCCTGGAAATTTGGTAAGATCATTCATTCATTCATTCTGAATGGAAATGTAAGCTAAATCCAAGAGGTCAGGAAGGTGAGCAGTGAAGGTTGGAGAGAGTAGCAACATTATGATGGTCGACTGCCCTGATGAATGACTAGATTTGGGTGACTGAGCCTTCATCTAAGCCCTTCTCCATCAGGAGTATCTGTGGTCCTAGGATAAGTTCCTAGTTTCCCCTATAAGCTTCTATAACATTTAGGATAGAATTAAATATGAGATCTTTTCCTTTAAGAATCATAGAATTAAAAATATATGTATAAGAGTTGGAAAGAATACAGAAAATGACAAAATTCAGTTGTTTCTTTATATCTCCAGAATGTTAGATATTTTCAAAATTGCAAATGTAAATCTGTAATCAATTTTCAATATTTTAAAAAGCCTACCAGAGATTGCATATTTTCTGGTGGTATTAAATGCCCGGTTTTCTTGATTTGTGCCAGAATTATGGGAGGTCGACATGAAGACTGTGGTGTCTTCTGATTAAGTATAAACTGTTTTCTCATTATTTTTATGCTAAGCGCTTTTTTTTTTCAAAATTCAGGAGGGAGGTTATGGGTTAAACAATAAAAATTAATAAAATTTGCTGCCATGTTCGCAATTTCTAAAACACTTTCCACTTACTTCATAATTTCTTCTGCATAACAATGTAGAAACACTTAAAACAGCAGAACCAAGAGTTCTTGAACCAGATGTCTTTTTAATTACTCTGAGGTTTTGCATTCTTTCTGTATGTGCCAACCTTTATGCCAAAATCCTTCCATTTAGAAGCACTTGTCGTCCCCTAACTTTTGGGTCACACTGCCTGCTTTTCAGGTGACAGTGATGGCTTCCTTTTTTTCATTCAGGAAAAGCTTGCTAGCACATGTGCATGACACACTGAGTTCACACCACCTTTTACCTGGAGTGGATACCTGAGTAACTCCTGAGAGTTTGCCCTCAGGACAAGGAGAGCCATCACCTTTTGAGCTCTGTGGTGCCCCCCTGCTCACGCCCCACCACCACTGCTACCATTTATTGTACTCTATTCCCTTTCACACTTTGCCTTCCAGAACATCACTAACAAAAACAGCCATTGACAAGGGATTCTTTCTTTGCTAGGCCCCTGTAGTTGCCAGGGAAGAACTGCATCTATCATGGAATAAGTAAAACCAGTATAGAGCTGTGTCTCCTGTTCTCAAGATACTAATGTCACTTCCCAGATTCCTGTGACTTGATGTTTGGGTTTCTGGTCTAAGAAAATACTATTAACTCTGGTTTTATTAAATTATTGTATTTATATGCATTAAATGTAAATATCAGAAGGTTACATGTGTGTGTGTGTGTGTGTGTGTGTATAATACCAAAAAGTATCATTTCTTTCTATAGTGTAATACTTTAATCAATACCAGTTTCTTCCTACTTTGCTTTCATTTTTTGGTGAGGAATGGTAATTTAGATGTATATGTTTATTTTAAAATCAAAAGAATGTCTTGCTTTATTTTTTTATGTTTTAAAGTTGACTTAAATAGAAGTAGATTCTCTTTAAAAATATGCTGTAAGTAGAGTTTTGGAAAAAAATAATTTTTTTTCTCTTCCCTAGTATTTTTGCTCCTTCAAACAAGGGGACAAGAGGATTATTTAAACATCTGAGCCTTGGTAACCTGTGTTCCTTTTGAAATATTAGTATTATTCTTTGACACTTTTTAACTTTCATTTATTAATGGAACTATGAGTCAGTAGTCAGTGTTAAAATTAAACCTGGCTTGGAGCAGCTACAGTTTTTTATTCTTTACCTGCAATAATTGGAGTTTACCTCTTTTACCATTTCTCTTTTCTTTCAGCATTTCTTCTATGTTCAAATCCATAGAATGCTCTAATCAGGGGACAAATTATTTTGTACTTTTTAAAAAAATACAGTTTTATTTTGAAAGAGTTTCAAACTTAGAGAAGCATTGCAAGAACAACACAAAGAATTCCCCTGTGTCTTTCATCCAAATAACTGGTTAAAATTCTGCTGATTTTCTTTATTAATGTTTATTATAACAAAAGACTGTAATCTGAAATTATATACCTTACTTAGTGGTCATGTGCCTCTACTCTCCTGCAGTCTGAAGCAGATCCTCAGCCTTTCCTTGAGTTTTATGCTCTATATTTGTTGAAGAYATTAGGGCAGCCACTTTGTAGAATATCCCTTAGTTTGGGTTTTATGCCAGTAGTATGCTGAATCTGGCTCCAAGTTGACTTTTGAGAGCTGAATGGACATATCTCTTCCCAATTCTTTGATCAGCAATATCAGTTGATACCTGAAATTAGCCGTGATGGAATATTTATACCATAGAAATGAGGAAGTACACAGGCTAGGGCTTTTTACCCCTGATGAGATGGTTTTAAACATTTAAAAACATATTCTTCATTATTAAACCCAAGTTACACATTTTTTATAGTAATATCACAGAAATGATTCTGGTTTGAC